CTGCAGAGAGATCCACAGCAATTATGTAATGTGTTAATACGACTGACGCTGGTCGGGATGAAAACAGCCACATTTCATCACCGAAGTTGTTGACCGCATGCTTTGAAACAGTTCCATTACTGATTTGTGAGCCCGATTCTCATTTCAAACAGCTGAACACAGCCAGACATGCTCGGAGCAGGCTGTTATGCAACGCCCACCCTGTCCATGCAAATCCGCCAACACAAATGACTGGTAACCTTCCCAGCCGTAGCCATGGAGATGGTGCAAGATAATGTTCACGGACTACAGAGCTGTGCGGTATCAACAGAAAACAGGCATTGTAATGTCCAGCTAATATGCTAAGCTGAGCCTCGCCTCGCACCCCCCCATCCTTTAATTGAGGGAATGAAAACAGGAGAAGAGTTCAGGTGTGGGTCAGTGGACATTTTTAAGCATGAAGCAACAAGCCCTAGTTGCCTCCATGCCACTAGGAACTCAATTGGCAACGCCACCGACTCTTAGCATTATAACGTAAAGAAGGGCCAGACGGACAGAGAGAAGGACTGAAAGGGAGGGGTTTAAGTGACAGCTGAGGAATGTCTTCTCTGCTCACCCTTTGCTATGGTTTCCAGCAGCCGTCATGTGAGGAATGCCCAGGGTAGGACGACAGGACTCGGAATGCTACTCCTGAGACAGCTAATGGGGCAGAAATCAGGAATCTATTCATCTTTTGAACACATTCTCTTCTGCATCCTCTTGACAATCCACCTTCATCTGTACTGTTCGTGTTTGCCATCAAATCAGGTACAGCAGAGGTTTTCAGGCGTGTGTGCAGGTCCTTCAGATACAGAAGACCTACAACCAACACAGCCTACACGATACCAGGTCGGCAATGCAAAGCAGATCTACAGACTGAGTCATACCCAAACTTAGCATCATCTCCTGATTCCTAGTCAAGAAAACCTGGGCTGTTTTTAACCCTACACAAGGCCGCATTATTACCAGAGTGGAGCAAGCCATGGTGCAACATGATGGACTTAATAACAGTCAATATTAAAGTTACACTCGTCATTAATACCTTTTAAAGAGATAATTGGACACATAACACACCTGCTGATATATTGTACGACTGATTAATTTGCGAGTCAGTTGTCAGCTACAAACAACCCCACCCACTAAATACTTATATTTTTTCCACATTCTGATTTGCAAGAATGTTCTTATTTTGTCTTCCCTTTGAATAACACAATTATGCCCTCTCCGAGGGCTAAACTCACATGCATCTTGTGATGTTTTCCAAAGTCAGAACAAGATGGCAGATCAAAGAGAAAAAACACAAACCCAGTTAACTCACACACTTTCAGACAGTGAGCCTTCAAAGCGCTTCACCGCACACCCCGCCGATTCTAGCAGGACAAAAGCTATTCTAGCTCATAATTTATACACTTATAATATCGAATCACCAAACAAAACAACCCTGCAACACACTAGTGTCCTTACATTAATATAAAATTCTAGATTGCTCCCCCCCCACACACACACTTTTTCCGGGGCGACAGTGACAGAAGTATTAAGTCCCAACCCGGTAACTGGAAGTTGGCAGGTTCAAAATCCATTCAGTCCGTCGCCGTCTTGTCCTTGGGCAAGACGCTTCACCCACCTTGCCTGCTGGTGGTGGTCGGAGGAACCGGCAGTGCCTGTGTGTGGCAGTCTCACCTCTGTCAGTGTAGCCCAGGACAGCTGCGGCTACATTGTAGCTCATCAGGGGGTGAGTGTGTGTGTGGGATGGGTGAGTGAATGACTGTTTTGAAAAGCACCTTGGGGGGTTCAAGGACTTTAGAAGGCACTATATCAAATACAGACCATTTACCATATGAATGAATGTGTACTGTAGTCAAATTATTGTGATTGAGGTTTTTTTTTTGTCTTTTTTTCCTATAATCAAGCAGCCCCAACCACTTCTTTTCTCTGGGGAACAGAACCACCTGGAACAAGATCATTCCTACATCACTCCTAATAAAGTCTAGAAGATCCCAAACCCTGGCAACACACACACACACACACACACACACACACACACACACACACACACACACACACACACACACACACACACACACACACACACACACACACACACACACACACACACACACACACACAGAGAGATAGTCAGAGCAGCTTTACAAATTCTTTCCTCACTCTTGCTCATCCTACGATTTAAATCCAAAAAAAGGCAACGTTTCCACCTGATGACTTTGAACTGGGGGGGGGGGGGGGGGCTGCTAATTCCAGACTTAATTACAGCAGACCATGAACATAAAAAGATTTGTTCAACAGCATCGTTAACATATGCTCAGAGAAAATACTGTAGCAAATGTCATCTTCATACGAAAACCTGCTCTTAAAAGCACAACTGGTTTAAATTTAATGAAAAAAGCAGTCATCACACTTTCCTCTGATTAGACATGTGGATGTGAGCAATGGCGTGACATCACTGATGACCTCTGCCAACAGAGACATTTAACGGGAATTCTAAGATCATTTACTCTCAAAGCAAAGAAAATGAGATGAGATCCCAGGACAAGTCCTACACTGTGACTTTGCCCAGTAAAAATAAAACTTTTTCTGCAAAATGAGGCATTTTACTACAGCATTTAGGTACAAAACTCAGACTTGGTAAGATTAAATAATAATACAAAAACATATTTGAATGATTCACAGCAGCTTACACAGTATACTGTACCTACTCAGTAGAATTACATCACACAATGATATACTAGTGGCAATATATAATATACAATAAATCATTTTAAACTCATAATTAGGAAACAAATCTACTTCATACTCTTCCAACCTCTGGATCAAAGCAAAAAAAACTTTCTCTAAGCTTCTACAAATAATCTGCTCATTCTGATCTCACCACTGAATCAGTACAGTTCCACTAAGCTTCGGAATAAGGACGGGGGCATTGGTTGGTTTGAAATGCCTCCTCGTATATTTGGTAGAACACATCTTGATCTATAAACACATAATGCCGATTTTAGAACAGCTTGTGGAACATAAACTTACAAAGTGTGCTTATGATAAGGGACTTTTGATTAGTTTCAGTGAAATTGTTGACAATAAAAGGGTCTGTTTTTGCTTTTAAGGAGAATGGGCATTTATTCGCTTTCTATAAATCGGTTGCCTCTCTCCAACAGTTGGTTTCTCTCTGCTAGGAGTGTCTAATGCAAAAATCTGCATCATATGGTCATCTCCATGCCACATACAAAGCAAGTGACAGTCCATGAGTGAGACAAAATGGAACAGACACTGGCTGGGATTAAAACAGGAAAGATATACAATCGGGAGGCTTTATAAACTTTGGATTTACTGAAATAAAGTGAAGATCAAGGTTAAATTATCATCTAAGAAGATCAGACAATAGATTCACTTGATGATCATCTTAATTTTGCAGCAGTTTTACATGAAATATTAAGAGGATGTCTGTAGAATAGTTTAGGATTTTTTATTAGGTTTTTCCATCAACACACATGAATATTTGCGTCTTTGACTCATCAAAATACAGCCTCACAAGTGGGTGCGTAATAAAAATGAACTCGATTTGGGTTCAACAAGAACAGTTCATCGTGTTCTAAAGCTAGTTTATTGCAGGCCTAGTTTATAAGCAGCATAACATTTAGCTGTTTTTCCCAGAGTGAACATATCTGTCCCACCTTCAAGAGGACACGGGCACTACGAGCACCGGCCGATCGAATATTTAAGTGTTTTTATGTGATTATTTTAATCCAGGCCCCCTTTCTAAATAATTTTACGGATGAGGTCGCCGCAGTCTGATAACACTCCGAGCACATATGCTAGTGAACGTTGCTAAAGAGATTAGCAGCAAAACTGTTAGCTTGGCACGGATGGCGTTTCTGTCAAAACAACAAACTGCCAACCGCATACACATTGGTGTTCTGATACACGCCACAAAGACAAGAAATGTAAAAAAAGAAAGAAATAGAGACTAGTAAGAACGAGGCACGTCGTCCGTCACCTCGGCTAATGAATGAATCGAGTCAAAATCAACTCCATAACAGCCAGCGTCGGTTATCTTAGCATGCTAACAGCGCTAGCTCACAACTCACTACATTTTATTCTTCATTGTAAATACCACTGCGTTTATTAATTATGTCAGAAGAAATAATACATAAATGTCACTTAAAGACATCAATTAGAGTTAAAATAACAACTAATGTCCAATAACTTTGGTTTCACCCCCTGAGAGTCGTCGCTGCTGAGGGATTTATCAACAAAACGACTTTTACTGCTAGCCAGGTAATAGCCGGTGCTGTGTGCTGGGGGAAAACACTCTTTCACGAATGCACCCCATATAGTTAACATATATATTTTAAAAACAGTATAACTGATGGAACGTGGGGTCTTGAGGGTAGCAAAGTGTCAACATTCGGTTTGTTTCTTTAGAGTTTGCCATTCTACGCCAGTGGAAGTTCTTGCGGCACTACACCATCCGCTGGTGGAATCAACTGATCTGGGATTATGCTTCTACACATGACAGCTACTACTAAAGAGACTACTTAGGACACATTTTAAGTTTTAGATTTTACACAGCAATCACTGCACACGAGAAAACGTCATTACTAATTTGTCTAAAACCACTCCAGAAAAAAGACGACATAGCTGTGGGATTTTGAGCTACAACAGAACAGCAATTAGACTGCACCCAAAGGCTTTAATACGGATCCAAGCTAGTCTATAAAGGCTAAAAGAAATCAAACTAAAAAAACGAAGTTCTGTAATATGTGCACAGGCATTAAACCAGTTAATAGGGCTCAGGAAGGTGCTAATCTATTCTCAGCGTCGAAAAAGGCGAGTGTGCAAGGTAGGTAAACAGCGAAGTGAGAATGGCTTCAATTTGACAGGTGTTACAACACAGGAAGCAGTTACAGACGGTAAACTGATGCTACGGTGCAAATAGATAAAATGGCCAACAATGGCAATCAGACACGAACCTGGTGAAGAGCAGTGAGACCGTCTACATTGGCGTAGTTGATGTCAGCGCCCCGGTCAAGTAGACGGAGCACCTCCTCGGTATCGCCGCTTGAGCAGGCAGCCAGAAACACGGCGCCATCATCGAACTTCACCTTCGTCTTCTTCTTTTTCAAAACAGAAGGTTCCTGGTCCGTTTCCGAGCCCAGCCATTGCTTTAGCTGTTCATTCCTCTTCTGCTTGGCGTCCGCCATCTTCATCCCCCTCCTGACTCAGACTTCTTATCGTTGTCCTAGAGAGGGTATACTTTATAGTGCCACTATCCCACAACGCACTGGGGCGTGGGAAGAGGGGAGGGCTGTGGAGGAGGAGGAGGGGACACGGCGTGAAAGAGGACGTCTGGAAATTTCCGATAATCTCGCGAGAACTGGAGCTCAGGCGAGGCAGCATCAGATCAGACTGCAGCATAACGTCATTAGTTGGGATCTCTGGCAAACCGATGGGACATATAATATTTTATGTACATGATTTTTGAGGGATGTGACTAAAATTGAATCTTTACTATTCAAATATGTGTATAAAAATGAACCGAATGTAAAATAGAACTAGTTGTAACTGCAAATTCATTATGTAATTCAATTCAAGTTCATTTATATAGCGCCAAATCACAACAAGAGAAGTCTCAAGGCACTTCACACAGTAAACATTCCAGTTCAGGTCATCATGGACGTAATTTTGGGGGGGACAGGGGGGACATGTCCCCCCCACTTTTTCCAAAGTCAAGATTTGACCCCTGCACTTTTTACCATCCAAAAGCAATATTACGCTATATTAAATTGACACTGGTTGAGCTCTAGGACAAAGCGGAAAACAACTGTTTGTGTTGAAGCCTGTTTCCCATTAGAGCATAGTGTAAAGATACCCCCCCCCCCTCCCGTGTCCCCCCCACTTCTAAAGTGAAAATTACGTCCATGCAGGTCATTAAGCCAATCAGTAACAAGCTTCCTATAAAAAGAAACCCAGCAAAGTGCACTGAGTCACTGACTAGTGTCAGAGTTTTTACAGCAATACTTTATTATTTTTTAAGTTAAATTGTATAATAATAATAATAATAATAATAATAATAATAATAATAATAATAATAATAATAATAATTATAAATATTAGTAGTAGTAGTAGTAGAATATATATATATATATATATATATATATATATATATATATATATATATAATACATTTTGATTATCATATAAAAACAAACCTGAAACTAAACTACAACATATATTAAATCCATGTTTTTAAGTTTAAAAACTTTTTTTTAATTTTATTTTATGTTTTTGCAGTGTCTGGTACGAAATATTGTTTAAACAACCCAGGGTCCAGACCAGGAAGCAGAGTCGTAGTTTAACCCACCCCTCTGCAGCTTCTGTACTGTTACCCACCCACTACCCCATAGAGACAGTGTCCTGTCCACGGCCAAAATCACACAGATTAAATATCAGGCTTAATAAAGCAAATCATGGAAATCTCATAAATATTAGAACAAATTCTACTGAGCAGAAAACTAGAAAAATTAAATGTGGGTTGTTGAACATTAGATCAATTTTTTCAAAGACTTTGTTAGTTAATGACTTGATTTGTGTTAATCAGATCTCTTTGCTCTCTCTCACAGAATCCTGGCTGCAGCAAGAGGACTATGTTAGCTTAAATGAGTCGACTCCTTCAAATTATTTAAATCATCATATTGCTCAAAGTACAGGGCGAGGAGGAGGAGTAGCAACCATTTTTCCGAGCAGGAGTAGCAACCATTTTTCATTCAGACTTATTAATCAGTCCCTTACCACTTAATAGCTACAGTTCGTTTGAACATCTTATTCTTAGTTTTCTTAAACCAGATTGCAAAACTGTAAAACCACTCTTGTTTGTAGTTTTATATCGTCCACCAGGCCCTTATTCTGAGCTTTTGGATCAGATCTCTGATTTTTTATCAGATTTGGTGCTAAATACTGATAAGGTCATTGTAGTGGGGGATTTTAATATTCATGTGGACATTGAAAATGATATCCTCAATGTAGGCTTTAGTAATATCTTAGACTCAATTGGTTTTACTCAAAGAATACATAGCTCCACCCACTCCTGCCATCATACATTAGACCTTGTGCTGACTTATGGCATAGAGTGTGAGGAAATAATGACCTTTCCACATAATCCAGTCCTCTCGGACCACTTTCTGATAACCTTTGAGTTTTTTATAACTGAGTTCTCGAGACATGAAAGTAAATTTCACTATAGTAGGTCTCTATCTGACAAAGCAGTTGCATCTTTTAAATCAACTGTTCCATCTTTACTGTCCTCAGCATCTCAGAGGAACGTAGCAGAGGGCAATATTCTCAGTTCTAGCCCCTCACAAATTGATGCCTTAGTTCATCATGTTAATTCCTCTTTACGTGTGGCATTAGATGATGTTGCCCCTTTAAAAAAGAAGGTAATTAGGGACAGGAAGTTGGCTCCCTGGTTTAATTCTCATTTACGAGCCTTAAAACAAAACTCTAGGAAATTGGAGAGAACATGGCGCTCTACGCATCATGAGGAGGCCTACCTATCCTGGAAAAATAGTCTTGTGCTTTATAAAAATAAGCTTCGAAAACCTAGAACTGCTTATTTCTCAGCATTAATTGAGGAGAATAAGCATAATCCTAAATTTCTTTTCAGTACAGTTGCTAAACTTACACAGAATCATAGCTCAGAGCCATCTATTCCCTTAGCCCTCAGCAGCAATGACTTCATGGGATTTTTTACAAGTAAAATTAATTCTATTAGAAACAAAATCTTTAGCATCCTCCCTAATGCAATTTCTTCTTCCTCAGTAAGTGAGGCAGCATCAGAGGTGACTGTAGAACCTCATCTGTGCTTGAACTGTTTTGATCCAGTTGAGCTTTCAGGTTTATCAAAAATATTAGCTTCATCTAAACCTTCAACTTGCATTCTGGATCCAATCCCAACCAAATTATTTAAAGAAGCATTTCCTTTGGTTACTGCCCCCATTCTAAATATAATCAATCTATCCTTAGTAAATGGATATGTACCACAGGATTCTAAGGTTGCTGTAATCAAACCTTCACCTAAGAAGCCTTCTCTGGATCCAGATAACCCAATGAATTATTATTATATATTATTAGACCAATATCTAACCTTCCATTTTTATCCAAAGTCCTGGAGAAAATAGTGGCCATCCAAGTATGTCAGCATTTAAACACTAATGCTCTGTTTGAGGATTTTCAGTCTGGTTTTAGAGAGTATCACAGCACTGAAACTGCGTTAGTGAGTGTTACAAATGATATTCTCATGGCCTCAGATAAGAATCTTGTGTCTGTTCTAGTCTTGTTAGATCTCAGTGCTGCCTTTGACACAGTTGATCACAATGTTCTCTTAGAAAGACTTGAACATGTTGTAGGGATCAAAGGAGCAGCGCTAGGCTGGTTTAAATCCTACCTGTCTGACAGATTTCATTTTGTAAATGTACATGACAAATCTTCATACTCCAGGGTTACTTGTGGAGTACAACAGGGTTCAATGCTTGGACCAATTCTTTTTACTATGTACATGCTCCCAATTGGTAAAATCATTAGACAGCATGGGATAAACTTCCACTGTTATGCTGACGATACTCAGTTATATTTATCCATTAACCCTGGTGAACCTAATCGGTTTGGTAGATTACAGGCTTGTCTTGAGGACATAACAAAATGGATGACTCTAAACTTTTTGCTTTTAAATCAATACAAGATGGAAGTTCTCATCTTTGGACCAGAAATCCAGAAAAGGAAATTGCTTAGCCAATCGCCTGACCTGAATGGCATTACATTAATCTCTGAGAACAAAGTAAGGAACCTTGGTGTTATCTTTGACCAGGACATGTCATTCAAATCCCAGGTTAAACAGGTTTGTAGGATTTCCTTTTTCCACCTTCGGAATATTGCTAAGATTAGAAGCATCCTTTCCAGGAGTGATGCTGAAAAACTAGTTCATGCATTTATTACATCAAGACTGGATTACTGTAATTCATTGCTCTCAGGAAGTCCACAGAATGTAGTCAAAAGTCTTCAGCTTGTCCAAAATGCTGCAGCTAGAGTTCTGATGAGAATTGAAAAGAGAGATCATATCTCTCCTGTCTTGGCTTCCCTACATTGGCTACCTGTTAAATTCAGAATAGATTTTAAGATCCTTCTTCTCACATATAAAGCTCTTAATAATCAAGCTCCATCATACATCAGTGATCTGATTGTTCCATACGTTCCTAACCGAGCACTTCGCTCTCAGACTGCAGGTTTACTGGTGGTTCCCAGAATATCTAAAATTAGGATGGGAGGCAGATATTTTAGTTATCAGGCTTCTCTCCTGTGGAACCAGCTCCCAGCCTTAGTCGGTGAGGCAGACACTTTGCCTACATTTAAGAATAGGCTTAAAACATTTTTATTTGATAGGGCTTATAGTTAAAATCTGATGTTAGCCTAAATCTGGACAAGTGGGGGATTACAGGGAGGTGGAGTGTACAGTCGGTAAAGACGGCTCTCCCTTGCCCTGCCTCCAACATGCCTCCATCTAAATAGGATAGATTATCCAGAGTTAGCTCTGTAGTTATGCTGCTATAGGCTTAGACTGCTGGAGGACACACTGACCACTTTTCACACTCTACTGCTTTCTTCTACAATCTGCTCTTTAACTGTACTACTTCCTGCTATTTCAGCTGTTAACTTTATTTTCTCTCTAAGTGTTTTTCTCCCCAGAAGAAGCTACAACGATGTTCTGCTGAGTTGTGGTGGCCTCATGGAGGGGGCCATCGTCTAGCACACTGCTGCTAACCACTTAAACATTCTCCCTCTCCTGATCATAAATTTTTGCTTTCCTTGACGATGGATGTGCTACTACTAGTTTAGCCATTTAATTATAGATCCACTAGGATAAATACAATAAAGTTTATCTCTCGCCAAATTGAATATTTACTAAGACATCACAATATAACTATAGACACATTACTTTGTCTTTGTGTGTGTGTGTGTGTGTGTGTGTGTGTGTGTGTGTGTGTGTGTGTGTGTGTGTGTGTGTGTGTGTGTGTGTGTGTGTGTGTGTCCCTGCTCTGTCTTCTCGATCACCAGTGAGTCATGGAGGATGGCTGCTTATACTGAGCCAGGATTCTCTGAGGGAGTTTTCCTCTCCACTGTCGCTGCATGCTTGCTTAGTATGAGGATTGCTGTATAGTCACTGACACTCGTCAGTGACTTGATGCAATTTGCTGGGTTCCTTACATAGGACACATTATTTCTGATTGGCTTAATGAACTGACCTGAATTGGAATGTTTA